TACTGTGAGGGTGTAGTTGAGGGTGTAGTTATACTGTGAGGGCGTAGTTATACTGTGAGGCGTGTAGTTATACTGTGAGGGTGTAGTTGAGGGGTGTTATTTTATACTGTGAGGGTGTAGTTATATGTGAGGGTGTAGTCATACTGTGAGGGTGTTTAGTTGAGGGTGTAGTTATACTGTGAGGGTGTAGTTGAGGGTGTAGTATACTGTTGTGAGGGTGTAGTCATACTGTGAGGGTGTAGTTGAGGGTGTAGTTATACTGTGAGGGTGTAGTCTACTGTGAGGGTGTAGTTATACTGTGAGGGTGTAGTTGAGGGCGTAGTTATACTGTGAGGGCGTAGTTATACTGTGAGGGTGTAGTTGAGGGTGTAGTTATACTGTGAGGGTGTAGTCATACTGTGAGGGGTAGTTATACTGTGAGGGTGTAGTCATACTGTGAGGGTGTAGTTATACTGTGAGGGTGTAGTCATACTGTGAGGGTGTAGTTACTGTGAGGGTGTAGTCATACTGTGAGGGTGTAGTCATACTGTGAGGGTGTAGTTATACTGTGAGGGTGTAGTTGAGGGCGTAGTTATACTGTGAGGGCGTAGTTATACTGTGAGGGTGTAGTTGAGGGTGTAGTTCTACTGGGGTGTAGTTATACTGTGAGGGTGTAGTTATACTGTGAGGGTGTAGTTGAGGGTGTAGTTTATACTGTGAGGGTGTAGTCATACTGTGAGGGTGTAGTTATACTGTGAGGGTGTAGTTATACTGTGAGGGTGTATTGAGGGTGTAGTTATACTGTGAGGGTGTAGTCATACTGTGAGGGTGTAGTTAGTATACTGTGAGGGTGTAGTTGAGGGTGTAGTTATACTGTGAGGGTGTAGTTATACTGTGAGGGTAGTCATACTGTGAGGGTGTAGTTGAGGGTGTAGTCATACTGTGAGGGTGTAGTCATACTGGAGGGTGTAGTTGAGGGTGTAGTTATACTGTGGGGTGTAGTTATACTGTGAGGGTGTAGTCATACTGTGAGGGTGTAGTTGAGGGTGTAGTCATACTGCGAGGGTGTAGTTATACTGTGAGGGTGTAGTTGAGGGTGTAGTCATACTGTGAGGGTGTAGTTGAGGGTGTAGTCATACTGTGAGGGTTAGTCATACTGTGAGGGTGTAGTCATACTGCGAGGGTGTAGTTATACTGTGAGGGTGTAGTCATACTGTGAGGGTGTAGTTGAGGGTGTGTCATACTGTGAGGGTGTAGTCATACTGCGAGGGTGTAGTTCTCCATGCTGACGTAGTCTCTGTGTGTAGAGTCCACTCAGGCTCTTCAGGCTCCGTCGTCTCGAGGAGGAACTCTGAGTCGAGACAAAGAGATCAAGAACTGAACGAGGAGATCGAGCGTCTGAAGAAGAAGCTGGCAGGTCAGAGGACTACAGGACTACATGTACCAGCAGTAGTGAGGAAGTATTTAAGATATTGTTCAGTGAGTAAGCCCTGCCCTTCTGCTGTTCTAGACTCTGATAGGCTGGAGCACCAGCTGGAGGAGGCGGTCTCTCTCAGACAGGACTACGAGAGCTCCTCCTCCAAACTGAAACTCTGGAGAAGCAGGTGAAGACCCTGAGACAGGAGAAGGACGAAGTGCACAAGGTACACACACACACACACACACACACACTTGTCCTCAGGTGTGTTTGGACCAGGTCTAACCTCACCTGTCTCCTGGGAGAGCAGCAGCTGGCGGACTCTCTGGAGCGTCTCCGCAGTCAGACCAAGGAGCTGAAGGAGGCGCATCTCAGAGGAAGCTCGCCCTGCAGGAGTTCTCGGAGCTGTCGGAGAGGATGGCCGACCTGCGCTCGGCCAACAGCGTCTGTCCGTCAGCTGAGGGACAAGGAGGACGAGATGGACGCTCTGCTGCAGAAGATGGAAGCCATGAGGCAGGAGATCCGCAAGACCGAGAAGAACCGCAAGGAGGTGAGAGAGACGGGTGGCGAGGAGGAGGAGGAGCTTTGTACTCTGTAGCTGGTCTGATGTAGTTCCCCCTCTTCACCAGCAGAGGGAGACAAAGACCACTAAATGTTTACTGAACAGATCAGTCCTCAGTGTTTACCTGTGTGTGTTTATCAGCTGGAGGCTCAGCTGGACGACGCCAAGGCCGAGGCGTCGAAGGAGAGGAAGCTGAGGGAGCACAGCGAGGGCTACTCCAAACAACTGGAGGCGGAGCTAGAGAGCCTAAAGGTCAGAAGACACACAGACCTCTGGCACTCACACACTTTTTGGATGTTAGTTTTTAAAAGTGACTCATAGTCCTGGTTTCAGTCTCAGCAGGGTCGGGGAGCTGCAGCAGGGGGGGCGGAGTCTCAGCAGGAGCTGTCCCGTCTGAAGGCGGAGCTCGATAAGAAGGTCTTGTTCTACGAGGAGGAGCTTCTGAGGAGAGACTCCGCCCACTCGTCCGAGATCAAGAACATCCGTAAAGACCTGCACGAGTCCGAGGGGGCCAGCTCGCCGCAACAAGGAGCTGCTGACGATCCGAGACCGGCTGGACAAGGACAAGAGGGACAGGTGAGTCTACAACCTGATCCAGGTGTGTGTTAGTCATGATCCAGGTGTGTGTGTCTGTTAGTCCTGATCCAGGTGTGTGTGTTAGTCATGATCCAGGTGTGTGTGTTAGTCCTGATCCAGGTTTGTGTGTGTGTTAGTTCTGATCCAGGTGTGTGTGTTAGTCCTGATCCAGGTTTGGTGTGTGTGTGAGTCCTGATCCAGGTTTTGTGTGTGTGTAGTCCTGATCCAGGTTTGTGTGTGTGTGAGTCCTGATCCAGGATTGTGTGTGTGTTAGTCCTGATCCAGGATTGTGTGTGTGTTAGTCCTGATCCAGGATTGTGTTTGTGTTAGTCCTGATCCAGGTCTGTGTTAGTCCTGATCCAGGTGTGTGTGTTAGTCCTGATCCAGGTGTGTGTTAGTCCTGATCCAGGTGTGTGTGTGTGTGTTAGTCCTGATCCAGGTGTGTGTTAGTCCTGATCCAGTGTGTGTGTGTGTGTGTGTGTGTGTGTTAGTCCTGATCCAGGTGTGTGTGAGTCCTGATCCAGGTGTGTGTGTGTGTTAGTCCTGATCCAGGTTTGTGTGTGTGTTAGTCCTGATCCAGGATTGTGTGTGTGTTAGTCCTGATCCAGGTCTGTGTTAGTCATGATCCAGGTGTGTGTGTTAGTCCTGATCCAGGTGTGTGTTAGTCCTGATCCAGGTTTGTGTGTGTGTTAGTCCTGATCCAGGATTGTGTGTGTGTTAGTCCTGATCCAGGTCTGTGTTAGTCATGATCCAGGTGTGTGTGTTAGTCCTGATCCAGGTGTGTGTTAGTCCTGATCCAGGTGTGTGTGTGTGTGTTAGTCCTGATCCAGATGTGTGTTAGTCCTGATCCAGGTGTGTGTTAGTCCTGATCCAGGTGTGTGTTAGTCCTGATCCAGGTGTGTGTGTTAGTCCTGATCCAGGTCTGTGTTAGTCCTGATCCAGATGTGTGTTAGTTCTGATCCAGATGTGTGTTAGTCCTGATCCAGGTGTGTGTGTTAGTCCTGATGCAGGTCTGTGTTAGTCCTGATCCAGGTGTGTGTTAGTCCTGATCCAGGTGTGTGTGTTAGTCCTGATCCAGGTCTGTGTTAGTCCTGATCCAGGTGTGTGTTAGTCCTGATCCAGGTGTGTGTTAGTCCTGATCCAGGTGTGTGTGTTAGTCCTGATCCAGGTGTGTGTGTTAGTCCTGATCCAGGTGTGTGTGTGTTAGTCCTGATCCAGGTGTGTGTTAGTCCTGATCCAGGTGTGTGTGTTAGTCCTGATCCAGGTGTGTGTTAGTCCTGATCCAGGTCTGTGTTAGTCCTGATCCAGGTGTGTGTTAGTCCTGATCCAGGTGTGTGTGTAGTCCTGATCCAGGTGTGTGTGTTTAGTCCTGATCCAGGTGTGTGTGTTAGTCCTGATCCAGGTGTGTGTGTGTTAGTCCTGATCCAGTGTGTGTTAGTCCTGATCCAGGTGTGTGTGTTAGTCCTGATCCAGGTCTGTGTTAGTCCTGATCCAGGTGTGTGTTAGTCCTGATCCAGGTGTGTGTTAGTCCTGATCCAGGTGTGTGTGTTAGTCCTGATCCAGGTGTGTGTGTTAGTCCTGATCCAGGTGTGTGTGTGTTAGTCCTGATCCAGGTGTGTGTTAGTCCTGATCCAGGTGTGTGTGTTAGTCCTGATCCAGGTGTGTGTTAGTCCTGATCCAGGTGTGTGTGTGTTAGTCCTGATCCAGGTGTGTGTTAGTCCTGATCCAGGTGTGTGTGTTAGTCCTGATCCAGGTTTGTGTGTGTGTTAGTCCTGATCCAGGTATGTGTTAGTCCTGATCCAGGTTTGTGTGTTAGTCCTGATCCAGGTTTGTGTGTGTGTTAGTCCTGATCCAGGTTTGTGTGTGTGTTAGGCTGATCAGGTTTGTGTGTGTGTGAGTCCTGATCCAGGTTTGTGTGTGTGTTAGGCCTGATCCAGGTTTGTGTGTGTGTTAGTCCTGATCCAGGTTTGTGTGTGTGTTAGTCCTGATCCAGGTTTGTGTGTGTGTTAGTCCTGATCCAGGTTTGTGTGTGTGTTGGCCTGATCAGGTTTGTGTGTGTGTTAGTCCTGATCCAGGTGTGTGTGTTAGTCCTGATCCAGGTTGTGTGTGTGTGAGTCCTGATCCAGGTGTGTGTGAGTCTTGATCCAGGTGTGTGTGTGAGTCCTGATCCAGGTGTGTGTGTGAGTCTGATCCAGGTGTGTGTGTGTGTGAGTCCTGATTCAGGTGTGTGTGAGTCCTGATCCAGGTGTGTATGAGTCCTGATCCAGGTGTGTGTGTTAGTCCTGATCCAGGTGTGTGTTAGTCCTGATCCAGGTGTGTGTGTTAGTCCTGATCCAGGTGTGTGTTAGTCCTGATCCAGGTGTGTGTTAGTCCTGATCCAGGTGTGTGTTAGTCCTGATCCAGGTCTGTGTTGGTCATGATCCAGATGTGTGTTAGTCCTGATCCAGGTGTGTGTTAGTCCTGATCCAGGTGTGTGTTAGTCTTGATCCAGGTGTGTGTGTTAGTCCTGATCCAGGTCTGTGTTAGTCCTGATCCAGATGTGTGTTAGTTCTGATCCAGATGTGTGTTAGTCCTGATCCAGGTGTGTGTGTTAGTCCTGATGCAGGTCTGTGTTAGTCCTGATCCAGGTGTGTGTTAGTCCTGATCCAGGTGTGTGTGTTAGTCCTGATCCAGGTCTGTGTTAGTCCTGATCCAGGTGTGTGTTAGTCCTGATCCAGGTGTGTGTTAGTCCTGATCCAGGTCTGTGTTAGTCCTGATCCAGGTGTGTGTTAGTCCTGATCCAGGTGTGTGTTAGTCCTGATCCAGGTGTGTGTCAGTCCTGATCCAGGTGTGTGTGTCAGTCCTGATCCAGGTGTGTGTGTTAGTCCTGATCCAGGTGTGTGTGTTAGTCCTGATCCAGGTGTGTGTTAGTCCTGATCCAGGTGTGTGTTAGTCCTGATCCAGGTTTGTGTGTGTGTTAGTCCTGATCCAGGTGTGTGTTAGTCCTGATCCAGGTGTGTGTCAGTCCTGATCCAGGTGTGTGTGTTAGTCCTGATCCAGGTTTGTGTGTGTGTTAGGCCTGATCCAGGTTTGTGTGTGTGTTAGTCCTGATCCAGGTTTGTGTGTGTGTTAGTCCTGATCCAGGTTTGTGTGTGTGTTAGTCCTGATCCAGGTTTGTGTGTGTGTTAGTCCTGATCCAGGTGTGTGTGTTAGTCCTGATCCAGGTTTGTGTGTGTGTTAGTCCTGATCCAGGTTTGTGTGTGTGTTAGTCCTGATCCAGGTTTGTGTGTGTGTTAGTCCTGATCCAGGTTTGTGTGTGTGTTAGTCCTGATCCAGGTTTGTGTGTGTGTTAGTCCTGATCCAGGTTTGTGTGTGTGTTAGTCCTGATCCAGGTTTGTGTGTGTGTTAGGCCTGATCCAGGTTTGTGTGTGTGTTAGTCCTGATCCAGGTGTGTGTGTTAGTCCTGATCCAGGTTTGTGTGTGTGTGAGTCCTGATCCAGGTGTGTGTGAGTCTTGATCCAGGTGTGTGTGTGAGTCCTGATCCAGGTGTGTGTGTGTGAGTCCTGATCCAGGTGTGTGTGTGTGTGAGTCCTGATTCAGGTGTGTGTGAGTCCTGATCCAGGTGTGTATGAGTCCTGATCCAGGTGTGTGTGTTAGTCCTGATCCAGGTGTGTGTTAGTCTGATCCAGGGTGTGTGTGTTAGTCCTGATCCAGGTGTGTGTTAGTCCTGATCCAGGTGTGTGTTAGTCCTGATCCAGGTGTGTGTTAGTCCTGATCCAGGTCTGTGTTGGTCATGATCCAGATGTGTGTTAGTCCTGATCCAGGTGTGTGTTAGTCCTGATCCAGGTGTGTGTTAGTCTTGATCCAGGTGTGTGTGTTAGTCCTGATCCAGGTCTGTGTTAGTCCTGATCCAGATGTGTGTTAGTTCTGATCCAGATGTGTGTTAGTCCTGATCCAGGTGTGTGTGTTAGTCCTGATGCAGGTCTGTGTTAGTCCTGATCCAGGTGTGTGTTAGTCCTGATCCAGGTGTGTGTGTAGTCCTGATCCAGGTCTGTGTTAGTCTGATCCAGGTGTGTGTTAGTCCTGATCCAGGTGTGTGTTAGTCCTGATCCAGGTCTGTGTTAGTCCTGATCCAGGTGTGTGTTAGTCCTGATCCAGGTGTGTGTTAGTCCTGATCCAGGTGTGTGTCAGTCCTGATCCAGGTGTGTGTGTCAGTCCTGATCCAGGTGTGTGTGAGTCTGATCCAGTGTGTGTGTGTTAGTCCTGATCCAGGTGTGTGTCAGTCCTGATCCAGGTTTGTGTTAGTCCTGATCAGGTTTGTGTGTGTGTTAGTCTGATCAGGTTTGTGTGTGTGTGTTAGGCCTGATCCAGGTTTGTGTGTGTGTTAGTCCTGATCCAGGTTTGTGTGTGTGTTAGTCCTGATCCAGGTTTGTGTGTGTGTTAGTCCTGATCCAGGTTTGTGTGTGTGTTAGTCCTGATCCAGGTTTGTGTGTGTGTTAGTCCTGATCCAGGTTTGTGTGTGTGTTAGTCCTGATCCAGGTGTGTGTGTTAGTCCTGATCCAGGTTTGTGTGTGTGTTAGTCCTGATCCAGGTTTGTGTGTGTGTTAGTCCTGATCCAGGTTTGTGTGTGTGTTAGTCCTGATCCAGGTGTGTGTGTTAGTCCTGATCCAGGTTTGTGTGTGTGTGAGTCCTGATCCAGGTGTGTGTGAGTCTTGATCCAGGTGTGTGTGTGAGTCCTGATCCAGGTGTGTGTGTGAGTCCTGAGCCAGGTGTGTGTGTGTGTGAGTCCTGAGCCAGGTGTGTGTGTGTGTGAGTCCTGAGCCAGGTGTGTGTGTGTGTGAGTCCTGAGCCAGGTGTGTGTGTGAGTCCTGATCCAGGTGTGTGTGTGAGTCCTGATCCAGGTGTGAGTCCTGAGCCAGGTGTGAGTCCTGATCCAGGTGTGTATGAGTCCTGATCCAGGTGTGTGTGAGTCCTGATCCAGGTGTGTGTGTGAGTCCTGAGCCAGGTGTGTGTGTGAGTCCTGATCCAGGTGTGTGTGTGAGTCCTGATCCAGGTGTGTGTATGAGTCCTGATCCAGGTGTGAGTCCTGATCCAGGTGTGTGTGTGAGTCCTGATCCAGGTGGTGTAGTCCTGATCCAGGTGTGTGTGTGAGTCCTGAGCAGGTGTGTGTGTGAGTCCTGAGCCAGGTGTGTGTGTGAGTCCTGAGCCAGGTGTGTGTGTGAGTCCTGATCCAGGTGTGTGTGTGAGTCCTGATCCAGGTGTGAGTCCTGATCCAGGTGTGTGTGTGAGTCCTGAGCCAGGTGTGTGTGTGAGTCCTGAGCCAGGTGTGTGTGTGAGTCCTGATCCAGGTGTGAGTCCTGATCCAGGTGTGTGTGTGTGTCTTCAGGCAGGTGGAGATGGATGAAGCTGTATCTGACCTGAAG